GAATCTAAAGCTATCTTTAAAAGAAAACTGGCTAGTAGGCAGGCAAACTGTTGACTACATTTTACTATATTTTATTATTTGTACATATTTTTAGTGTAGTTGTACAGTATTTACTTCTGTTTCTATACGGCTTTCATGTAAAGAAGTTATGTAACTTATGAAATTACCGTATTCAAATAAAAGTGAATCAATCAATCAATCTATCTATCTATCTATCTATCTATCTTATCTATCTATCTTATCTATCTATCTATCTATCTATCTATCTATCTATCTATCTATCTATCTATCTATCTATCTATCTATCACCTTTTGATCGATTTTCAGCAATTGTTAAGCCAAGATGCTCTATCAAAGAGGACTTTTTCTTCCGAGCAGCCCACGAAGTACAGAATTCATCAAAATCCAGATCGAGCCTTTGAGGAGAGTTTATTCTCCAGGCCGATAAACTTCACCATCATATTTCTCAGTTCGTTGCACAAGACCACCTATTGACATTCCAGTCCAAGTAGTGTGCAGGATGTTTATAAGACGCTTTATCAGATGAGCCTCTAACCCTGGTCAAAACTCTTTGGACACCAACGCAACAGCTCGTCAAATTTAGGCATCTTCCCTCCCCTCTTCCCGCTGATGCAGTGTTGGCGTTATGCATTCAAGTTTTAATTAAACACAATCAACACTGCTTGGGGGAGAGGGGGGCAGCAGAAATAGCCCTTTATAACAACATCCTTAAGCATTTCTTTTTAAGAGGTAGAAAAGGCTTATTTTAGCAAAGTTCTTCTTTGTGCCTAATTCGCTCAGGTGTCCCAAGACGTTTTGATCAGGGTTGTAATTGAGAGCGAGGCCCTCTTAGACGGGTTAACTATCTAAAGAACCGCAAGTTGTGGAATTTCAAGGTGTGTCAAGTACCGAGCCTATGTCTGTTGGTGTACCACAGGGGTCAATTTTAGGGCAACTGTTATTCATCCTTAACCTTAACGATCTCCCACGCTCAGAGTTCGGACTGTTAGCAACGCGGAGCGTATGATTCGTCAACAGTACTCTTAACGCTCCGTAACAGTGCGGAAGTATTGCACAGGACTGTAATTTTGGGACATCTTGTTATATTAGTTCATACCGGTTATATCGCCATTATATTGGAATGCTGATCGTACTGCGTGAAAATTAACTCTGCAAGACATCAACAAGACACCGAAAGAACTCAAAACAGAGCGGGATTGTAGCCATAGACAGCTGTTTCGCCCTCTTTGGGGCTCGTCAGTATGGTGTAACAACACAGAAAACTCTGGTGAAAAATATCCGCGCACTCTGATTTAAGCCCTGACCTAGAACTCTCAACACCCACAGAATCACGCCATACCACGTGTCTTCTGGGGGGCAAAAGTCCAACTGTCAAGTTGATGTCTTGCAGAGAAAATAAAAAATTGGCCAAAACCAACCTATAGAGTCAAGGCCGCTTGCCGGTCGCTTGTGGGAGTTTTACAGGGCCTCATCAGTTCAGTGGTCTTAGTTCCCACGAGTCTCCTGTAAGTTAGTGGTAGAGCATCTGAACTAGTAACCAGCGAGAATAGGAAAAACTGTTTGAATGCAGAGGTCCACGCAAGGCATAAATATGACTGACTGGTTCCTCTTGCCCGATTTCTATTTAAAGAGATGCTGTAGCTAAAGTGCAGTGCTGTCAACTCTCCCGGACAATCCCGGGGACTCCATATTTTGGACCGTATCTCCGGATCTCCAGATTAGAGCTGATATCTCCCGGATAATCGCCAAAATTGCTATTTCTTGTAGACTCGACTTTCCTACCGTAAAATTTCAAATAGTTTGCGTTGTTTGAGCTACCGCGGGAACGTTTGCCCATAAATTCTGGTATGCCACTGTAATTTAAGTAATAATGTGGCCAAATATGAACGGTTTATGTCAGGGCGGATAAAGGTTGGGCGGTGAAACGAGCGCGTCCGAGCAAAAAGGTGTGATGCAGTGGACTGGGACTCTGCTTAGAAATGTCGCTTGTTTTCGACTTCGGTCAGGGTTTGCGATGTGGTTTGTACATGAAACACTGTCGCTGAATTATGGCAGCTTGATTTGTTTTCTTGCACTTCTTCCTCGTTCCTTTGTGCTGGTACGCTGTCTCCGAGAGGCAAATATTGCTATTTTTTGCGGGAGGTTTAGTTGAATTGGAGTAGACAAACATCTCTTTCAAAGGGTTTCTTTTATTACTTCCATGACTCTACCACTGAATTATATTTTCGTTTTGCTACTCGCCAATGTCGATGTTATTCCAAAACAAAAACAGCTAAGTACTGTCTAAAACACGAAGGAAAATGTCATCCATGGCAAAACTAAAAGACAGCAGATCGTGTTTCATAACTAGATGACGT